TCCAGATAATATAAAAGCAAAAGCACAAGAGTCTCCTACATAGAGCTGCCAGGCAGCCCAAACACTAATAACCCGGTTTCCTAGGAATCAGTAGCTCAGGATCTCATTCTGCTCTGAGTTTCTAGAGTGTTGCGCTTGTATAGTCATGCTGGCCTACTCCCTGTGTAGTTCAATCCCGCCTGGGCCTGAGTGTTAGGATTTTAGCCATGCACCACCGTTCCTAGTAGTATGGGATCATTTTAAATACACTTAAAACTCATGCTCCATTTGGAGAGTGCAGAGGACCATTCTCTCTGTTTTCCTTGCAGTTTGATCGTGGCCAGTCGTTTCCACCCCACTCCACTGCTGCTGTCTTTGCTAGACTTTGTGGCCCCATCAAGGCCGTTTGTGGTCTACTGTCAGTATAAAGAGGTAATGCTGAGACAAAATAGACAGAATTCCTACATCTGAATTTTGATCCCCCATTGTAGTTCAGGAAATGTCTAACAGGATTCTGTTTTTGCCCTAGCCTTTGTTGGAATGCTACACAAAACTTCGGGAGAGGGGAGGGGTCATCAACCTGAGACTGTCTGAAACCTGGCTTAGGAATTACCAGGTAAGCATCCTCACTCACCCCAGGTTCCAGAGTTGCTGCTTCCCTGCACAGTACTACAGGATGTTCAAAAGAGCCACTGTTCACAGTGGCAATGATGGAAATGTCTGCCTGTCACTCAGAGAAAGTACCCTGGTTTCCTGGCCTTCTTTTCCTGTCCAGGTGCACTATTCTGTAGCCCTAGTCCAGAGGGAGGTGGGGGGTTGGATTTGTTGTTGTTGTTGGGGTTTTGTTTTTTTCGAGACAGGGTTTCTCTGTGTAGCCCCAGATGTCCTGGAACTCCCGTTGTAGACCAGACTGGCCTGGAACTCACAGAGATCCACCTGTCTCTGCCTCCCAAAAAGCATTCTCCACCATGCCCAGCTAGTCCAGAAGTATTTAAAATGCAAATAACTAGTTATACTACCCTCAAGACCTTGCTATCTATAGAGGTGGGTAACTAAAATTAGAGATAAGTGACCTTGTCCTCTGTTGCAACATCTTCCTAGCCAGTTCGTGATTTACTGGTGGGGGGTATGTTATTCCAGACACATCCTCTAAGATATATTTATGTTCATTCCCTCCCTCAGCTACCCCCTCTCTGGCAGCGTTAGATATCAGAACCAGGATCTTGGGCATGCTGGGCAAGTATTCTGCCACTGAGCCACATCCTCAAGCAGATATATGCCAAGGTAGAAGTTCCATTGTAGCTAGAGTTTTCCTGCCTTGCCCACAGTCAGGACAAATCTCTATCACCCACCGGTCCCACAGCCACTCAGACCTGACCAAGTAAACACAGAGACTTATATTGCTTACAAACTGTATGGCTGTGGCAGGCTTCTTGCTAACTGTTCTTATTATCTTAAATTAATCCATTCCCATAAATCTATACCTTGCCATGTGGCTCGTGGCTTACCGGCGTCTTCACATGCTTCTTATCATGGCGGCGGCTGGCAGTGTCTCCCTCTGTCTTCCTGTTCCCTCCTTTCTCCTCTCTGTTAGTCCCGCCTATACTTCCTGCCTGGCCACTGGCCAATCAGTGTTTTGTTTATTGACCAGTCAGAGCATTTGACATACAGACCATCCCACAGCATTCCATAACAGATTTATTAGGGCAAAGGGGCCTTTAAAAACATAGAGAAAGAGAGGAAATGGAATTATGTGGGTTATAACTTACAAAAGAAGAAGGGGACAGCCTGCATAAATACTCTGAGAAAGTCTCAGTGGGGAGCTGGGAGTAAAGACTACCCATGCAAGGGCCTGCTGGACTGAGCAGAGTGGTCTGCTCTTGTGCCTGGGCTCAGTTTGGTCTCAGTATGGTCCCTGCAGCAGATCCCAAAGTCACAGCAACTGGAGAGCTTTTGCTGCCTGAATGCCTCATAGCCAGTTCCTTCAGGAAGGGAGGTCGGAGGGGGACACTTCTGTGTTACTGTGTGCCCATCCTGCTGGTTGGCATTCATTCCTACCACAGTAAGGATGCTGCTGAGTCCAAAGGAACATTGCCTTTTCATGTTGCAAAGGTAACAAGTGAGAAGAGCCCATGTTGGGTTAACTGCAGGGAAGTGTCCATCCAGTGTTGCTTCTCCACATACCCCACACCCTGTTGTTGGCCATGAGCTTCCTGGAGCCAGAGTTACTACAGAAACCATTTGTCTTTCCCTCTCAAACTAGCATTCAGTTTGAGAGAAGCAGGCCTTCAGTTATGTTCTGTTTAAGTAATTGGATTGCTTTGTTTTTATACTTTTTTTCTGCATTATGCTATGAAGAAGTGGTCTTCTTTTTTTTTTTTGGTTTTTCGAGACAGGGTTTCTCTGTGTAGCTTTGCGCCTTTCCTGGAACTCACTTGGTAGCCCAGGCTGGCCTCGAACTCACAGAGATCCGCCTGCCTCTGCCTCCCGAGTGCTGGGATTAAAGGCGTGCGCCACCACCGCCCGGCAAGAAGTGGTCTTCTTAAAAGTTAGTTTTAAATTGAGAATTTTTCATTTAAATTCTGATTTTTGTTATATTGTTGATATAGTTTGTAAGAATGCAGAAAGGCAAGATTGTCCATTTTTTTTTTTTCTGTTTTGGTTAGGTTTTGCCAGATCGGAGTCATCCCAAATTGCTGATGAGTGGAGGTGGAGGATACCTTCTCTCAGGCTTCACTGTTGTCTCGGACAGCCTGCGAGCAGACCCCAGCCTCAAGTCTTGTGCAAGCACTTTTGACTCAAACGAGGCTGAGGAGCCAGCAGCTAAAAAACAGAAATGCGTGGGATCTGGTTCTTAAGAGAATACTGTTTGTTCCAAGGCGTTCTGCAGCTGTTAATTACACTTGAAATGACATCACTAAACTGTTTTTCCTATCCTAAGAATGTGTGGACACCCATGCCTGGGAAGAAATAAGCCTCTCCTTTGCTTCTGATGCAGATGGGGTTCGTCAGCAGTGCAGCTCCGACGTGTGGTAATGGGTGATGCAGCAGTCCTGTTTCTATAACAGACTCCGAGTACTTCAGAGTACTCTACAGATACCTTGGGAAGGTCAACGTCTTGAGAGTGTTGATATGTAAGACTTTGTTTCTATTTCAAGCAAAGATGAATAATACAAGCTAGCTAAAACAAGATGAGCAGTGAAAAGAAATCCCCTCTCATCCGTTCTCTTCAACCTAAGCAATATGGATGTGTGAGCCTATGAGATTTATAGTACCAAAAATGTCTACCCTGTGCCCTGCAGTGGAATAAGCCTTTTGAAATACTGGATTTTATTATTTTAGTAGTTGACAGCCTGAGGAAGATCCAGGTACTTCTTTTGCTGCCTCTCCCTTTTTTGGTGCATAGAAAGGTGTAGTAAGTGCTTTTTTGCGGTGGTTCACCCATCTTCTTTGTTCTAAATAAAGTGATTAGAACTTTTGTGTACTATTAAACAGTTGGTTTTTCCCTCTCTAGAAATGTGTATCGCCGTAGGTATCTATACATACACATAGATGTGTCTGTTTATGTCAACACAGACAGAATGTACTACCTATAGAGGGGGAGAGAGCGAGATAATACACTGTCGATTCGAACTGTGGTAAAGACCTGTGCAAGACAGACCAGCTCTCAGTGCGTTGGTATCACTCCTTGTCAATTGTCTCAAGTGCCTTTTTCTGGGATTACTCACACTGGTCTCTGAGGGTCTGCTGGAGTGAGGTGGGTGGCCTTTATCAGCTCAGAAAAGGTATAATCAAATTACTTTACCATCTCCATTATAAGAAATAAAAATGTCTAACTCAAGACTCTTGTCTGCTTGAGAATCTTGAACTGCTCACTAGAATGTGCCTGTGGTGTTCATGTCACCATAGAAGCCTATCCAGCCAGGAGCATCTCGGATGAAAAAAAGTGTTTTCCTAATAGCATGTGCTATGGTTTTTATCCTTTTTCCTCTAATAATTTCTTTTAAAGAATAAAAGTTTCCTACTCTGAGCCATGTGTCATTAATGATAATGATACCACACATATCACATTGAGCTAACACTGACATGGTAGAGAACACACCGGAATGTACCGCATGCAAGTCACATTTAAGGAGAGTGTAAGATTGCACAGAGGAGACTCGGTAGGTGCTGGTCACTGATAAAATGACCTCAGTTGGTGTCCAGGTTCTGTTCCATTCTCTGAATTGTTGAGTCTGCCCTCTGAGGTAAGGTCTAAGGTCTGAGCTACCAGAGCCCTGCATGCCTCAGAGAGCACTAGCAAATACTTCAAAGGGGATCTGTTGGGGGTAGTACCTCTAGGGTTTGAACCTGGGTGATGTGCCTTTAGCTGCCAGCCATCTCACTAGCCCTGACACAGTTTTGATACATATGAAAATATGAGAGTATTTGCATGTTATTTGAAAGTTGGTTGTAAAAACTGCAACAATATAAATACTAGAGATCAGCAGCATTCAGATACTTTATCCTGTGATTCGTGGTGTGCAGTGCCAGTGAGGAGAGTGGACCTAACCACCTGACTTGAAGTAGCTCTAGAATAATACTTAAAGTATCCCATGCAGTGGTGGTGCACACCTTTAATCCTAGCACAGAGGCAGGGAATTCTCTGAGTTCAAGGCCAGCCTAGTCTACAGTGAGTTCCAGGACAGCCAGGGCTACAGAGAACCCCCCCCCCCAAAAAAAAAAAAAGCAGAAAAAATTGCATGGGCCGGCAGTGTGGCTTAGTGGATAAAGGTGCTTGCTACGTAAACCTGGCAATCTCCAGAACCCACATAAAGTGGAAGGACAGAACCAACTCCATAAGACCATCTTTTGATCACACACATTGTGGCTGGTGTGTGCTCACACCAACACATCATACACAAATTAGTTCTTCTTAGATTATGTATTTTATTTGGACTTAACTATGAGCACAGGTCGGATTCTAAGACTGAACAGCTACTTAAAGAACAGGGAATAAACAGTTATCCTGCTGACATAAGTTACAGCTTTTTGAGTCTTTATCCTTTATTCATTGGAATAAAGATTTTAATCATGGGTTTTTTAATGAGAGTTTTAAAAAGCTATATTAACTCCAGAGGTCAAAATCTAGTGTTTTCATACCATATACTTAAAGCAATTTCTAAACATATTGTATGTGTATTCTGTATCTGATTTATGTCAATAATGGCATATGCATGCCATGGTGTACATGTAGAGATTAGAGGACAGCTTCTGAGAGTCAGTTCTCTTCCTTCCTCCATGTGGATAGTCAGTCTTGGACAGCAAGTGCTTTTATCCCGAGCCATCTTGCCGGCCCTGAAGTACCTTTTAAAAAAAAGCAGAAACAAAAACACAGTAAGTACTGTGTTGGTGGGCTCAGTGGATAAAGTGATTGTCACCCATATATGATGCTTGAAGTTCCAGAACCAATGTAAAGCTGGATGCAGTAATCAGTGTTCCTATAGTAAAGTGGGAGGCAGAGACAGGGGTGTTGGGATAATCTTTTTGTACACCATGATAATGTGTCTCTGCCAAGGCACCTTCTGATTGGCTTAATAAAGAGCTGAACAGCCAATAGCTAGGCAAGAGAGGATAGGTGGGTATGGTGGTATTTTATTTGTACTGAATAAAATGTGATTTTATTTGTATGTTAATAAATAAAGTTGCCCGGGGGTCAGAGCTATTAGAGCCATAGCAAGAGTGTGGCAGTGGTGGCGCCACATGCCTTTAATCCCAGCACTTGGTAGAAGAGCTAGGCAGATCTCTGTGTGTTCAGGGATACAGCCAGCATTGGAGACACATGCCTTTAAGACCTGGGGGGCTGTACATACAGGCAGTGACGAGGCAGTCACGTGTTTGGGTTTACAACCAATGAGAAGGCAGAACAGAAAGACTATGTAAAGACATACACACAGGAAGTAGGTCTCTTTCAGAGAGGTAGGAGCACCACAGGAGGAAGGGTAAGGTTTTAGCTCTGAGTTCTGACCTCTTGGCTTTCTCTTTTACATTGGTTCTGTGTTTCTTATTTAATAAGACAGTTGGTTACATCTACAGGTGGAAGTGATAGGAACTCTAGGAAGAAGAGGTGAGATTTGCCAACCAGACATGGAGGAAGTGGGAAGTACAGTATGGAGGAGAGGTAGTGAGCCACAAGGCAGAACGTAGATAAATATAAACAGGTTAAGTTTTAAGAACTAGTTGGGAATAAGCCTAAGCTAAGGCCAAGCTTTCATGCTTAATAATAAGGCTCCATGTCATTATTTGGGAGCTGGTGGTCCAAAGAAAGCCTGGCTACACAGGAATCCTTCAGAAGCTCAAGGGCCAACTATCCTAGAGTACACAGTGGCAAACAACAAAGTCCCTGTCTCAAAATGGAAGTCAAGGAACAGCAACATCTGAGGTTGTCCTCTGACAACCACATGTTGGCCATAGCACATACACACCCACACTCACATGATGTACACAAAATCTATCTTTAAAAATCACAGTTACGTTCTGTCTTAGGGTTTCTAAGACACCTAAGAAAACACCATGACAAAAGCATCCTGGGGAGGAAAGAGTTTATTTGGCTTACACTTCTACATCACCACTCATCATCAAAGGAAGTCAGGGCAGGAACTCTTAAACAGGGCAGGAACCTGGGAACAGGAGCTGATGCAGAGGCCATAGAGGGATGTCCCTTGCTGGCTTGCTCCTCATGGCTTGCTCAGCCTGCTTCTTATAGAACCCAGGACCACCAGCCCAGGAGGTGCACCACCCACAATGGACTGAGCCCTCCCCCATCAATCACTAATTAAGAAAATGCCCTGAAGGCTTCTTATGGAGTCATTTTTTTCTATTTGAAGTTCCCTCCTCTCTAATGACTATAGTTTGTGTCAACCTGACATAAAACCAGCTAGCACGCATTCCAACAAATGCAGTCTTGAGTGTTTATCAAGTTAACTGTCTATGGCTAGCAGGATAGCAGATCAGAGGCCAGGAGTTAGACTGTATCATAAGGGAATATTTACTGAGTGGTCTCACTTACACCACAAACCAAATGACTTCCAGCATTTACCTCCATGTACTTGTCCTAATCATCTGGTTTATCATGGGCTACTGTGATGCAGCCAGTAATTGAATGGTCATCTTTGAATACACTCAGAATCAACAGATATTTGGTCATATCATGTTTGCTAGGATTTGCTAGGAAAAAAAAGGTATTTTTCTTGGTGGTGGTTTGGTTTGATTTTGCTTTTGTAAGTTGATTGGTATATTGATTATTAATACTGCTGAGACAAAAATATCTGATCAAAGCAACTTAAGGGTTTATTTGGCTAACAGTTTGAGGGAAAGGCAAATGTGGCAGGGAAGGAGTGAAAACAAGCCTCCTGAGTGCTAGGGTTAAAGGGTGGCACTATTCTCTGGGCTTGGGTCCTGGACTATATAAAAAGAAGAAAATTAGCAGAGTACGGACAATCCATTTCTCTCTTTTTTTCCTGACTGCCAATGCAATTAACCAGACTCTTGCAGGCCACCAACCACCCGCTCCTGCCACCATGCCTTCCCCACCATGGTGTGTCCTCTTGCACTGTATCCAGAATAAATCATTCCTTTCTTGCCTTGCTTTTGGTCAGGTATTTTGTCCTACAATGAGGAAAACAACTAATACAGAAAATTAGAACCAAGAAATGGGGTTGTTGCTGTCATAAACCTAACCATGTGGTTCTTAGGTCTTTGAGACTGTTTTGCAGAAGGAATGTGGATAGTGGCAAAATAACTAAATACAGTCAAGCTTTGGATCCAAGCAATCCATATGTGCATCCTGTAATTTCTTTTCTCTCAGCCTCAGCTGATAATTTTCTTGAACTATTTACGTCCTTATCACCTTGTAGGGTTTGAAATAAATTACTTAGTTCTTGAGTAGTTAATCCAATTGTGGGCTGTAACCAGTTAACATCTCGCAGCAATTTTTGAAAATCATTAAGAGTTTGTAATTGATCTCTCCTGCTTTGTACCTTCTGTGGTCAAAATTTTTGTAAACCTATCTTATATCCTAGATAATTGATAGAATCTTCTCTTTGTACTCTTTCAGGAGCAAAATTCTCTTTACTTCATCAAACACTTTTTCTAGGGTATCTGCATCTGAATCAGTCAGTAAGATATCATCCATATAATGGTAAATTTTAGATTGAGGAAACTGTTTACAAATTATTTCTAATGACTGTTGTACAAAACATTGACACAAGGTGGGGCTGTTTAACATTCCTTGTGGAAGAATTTTCCACTGATACCTTTTAACAGGTTAAGTATTATAAGTAGGCGATGTGAAGGCAAATTTTTCTTTATCCTTTTCTTGTAAAGGAATAGTAGAAAAGCAGTCTTTTAAATGAATCATTATACTAGACCATCCCTTAGGTAATAATGAAGGCAAGGAAATTCCAGGCTGTAAAGAGCCCATTAGCTGAATCACTTTATTTGTGGCTTTTAAATATGTTAACATTCTCCATTTCTAGACTTCGTTTATGACAAATATAGGAAAAATCTGAGGACTGGTCGATTCTTCAGTATGTTGAGCATTTAGCTGCTCCGGTACCAACTGCTATAGTGCCTGTAAATTTTCTGATGTCAAAGGCCATTGTTACACCCACACATGTTTGTCAGTTAACCATTTTAAAGGTAAGGAAGTAGAGACTTTTGAAAGACCAACAGCTGTTATGTCCTATTTGTGTACAACCTGAACAGTCTGTGACTGTTCTTGAAAATACCTTTCAATATTTTTCTCAGAGGCATTCCTTATTTTATGGTTTGTTTCTGAGATTAGAGGAATATTAATCTGTTTTCTATTGCTGCAACAAATCACATCCCCATAAATTCATTGCTATATTATCTACTTTAATTTTCCTCTCTATCCTTCTGGCCCTATACACTTGACCATTTTGCACTTTTTTTTTTAACCTGAGATAAAGTTCCAATCCCTAGAAGCTGAATACTTACCTCCTGAAGAGGCCAATTTGGATACCAAGATTTGGGTGAAATTATTATTACATCTGCCCCTATATCAAGTAAACCTACAATTTCAATGCCATTTATTTGTATTTTTGCTTTGGTCTCTGATCATTTATAGCAGTTTGCCAAAAATACTTGTTTTTTGGGTCTCTCCTGAATTTTTTGTTCTATCTATTGAAGCTGTTTTGTCCTTGATTATATCCAAAGCAGTGCTGTTTTTAACAGCAGGCATTAATCTTTTAATTGCTCTGTGGATGAGTTTCTCCAACACTGACAGGGAATGACTGTCAAAATTGATATGGGGCCTGTGGGAGGCCCCTCAGGGTGTTTTCTGGTGGCAAAAGTTTGCCTTGACTGTCCCTTGCTGATATGCATTCATTAGTCCAATGCCAGCCTTTTCCACACCTTCTGTATATTCCAGAAGTCTGAGGCCTTCTTTTTGGTTTATCTCTAGAAAAAACATTGTTTCTATGAATGCTTTGCCTACAATCCCTTTCAGATGACCTTGCTTCCCACAATTAAAACATCTGACATTTTGATTTTTTTCTTAAAGCTTTTAGAAATTACTTCTCCTATCTTAGTGTCATAAACATGAGAACCAATATCAGCTGAATTTCTAATCCATTCATCTATTGGTACTGATGTTGCCTTTAAAGACCTAATTACCCCTTTGCATTCTGAATTAACAATTTCAAAAGCCAAAGATTCAATCAATATTTTTTGACTTCTGATACTATTCTATTTATGACTAAAGTCAATCTTTGCAAAAAAAAATCAGTGAAGGCTTCTTTTGAGTCTTGCATAATTTTAGTAAATGACTCAGACCTCTTTCCTGATCTTCAACATTGTCCCAAGCATTTAAAGCTGCTAAACAACATAGCACCAAGGTGTGATCATCAAATTCAAGCTGCCTTTGTAACTCAGCATATTAACCTTCACCTAGAAACTGATCTTGGGAAATATTAATAACCTTTAGCCCTATTTTGTTTTTCTATGTCCTTAGCTTCCTCTTTCCATCATGTTCACCATTGTAACTGAGGACCAGCTTCCAATATTGCTAATGCCAAATCTTTCCAGTCTTGAGGAATATTTCTGCTCTGAGTTGTCCATGAATTTAATATCTGCTTCACATCAGGTAACTTAAGAGAATGACCAGTTCCTTAAATCTTCCCAGATCTAATATTTCTATAGGATTCCCTTTAGCTTCTTGATAACCTTGGAGATGCCTGTCATCTGCTAGAAGCTCTTGCATAGTAACTGGATAAACTAAGGTTGATTTTCTAACAACCTTGGGCCACCACTCTTCTGTTTTATCATGCAGTGGTGTGGTAGGTTCTTTTCTAAATGCCTCTGTCTGTGTCTCAGCATTTTTCTTATTTTCATTTATAAGTCTTTCTAAGGCTTGTATCTGATCAATCTACTTTTCATATTTAACACAAGAAAGACATTATGGCTATTAAGGATAAAATATGAATTACCAGACTGATAGTAATTATATTTGATGTTAAGTAATTTATCTTCTCATTTTCTGCTTGTGTTTTCAAGCCATCTAAAGAAGCATTATACAGAGTCCTAATGCCCTATATAATGATATTTCCCATCCTTAACACAGGAAAAAATTTCTTTTTAATATTAGTTAACTCTCTCCTTGAGGACTTTCTAGGTATCTTTTCAAATCTGATGGCTTCTGAGTTTGTTCACAGCTGGTGTGATTTCTGTGTGGTTGTACCCCATATTGGGTGCCAAATGTTGTTTTTTAATAAAATCTAAATCATTAGATTTTACCAATAAACACTTGGGAGCCAGATGCTGTGGTGAAAGTCTGCTTGCTCAGAGAGGCAGAGAAAGCACCCATCTGACCTTTCTCCTCTGTCAATGTCCCAGAGAGTTTTCTTCTACACTGTCTCAAACTGAATGTCTATCACTTCTTCTTCCTGTGCATCTCTCTATCTGTCTTCTTGACTCCCTCTTACTCTCTATGGCTTTTTCCTATCAACTGGTTGCTTGCTCTACTTTTTAACATGTGGTTGACTTTATTTAATTCTGTTTACAATAGTCAAGCAGAAAGCTTTTGGATTAAAAGTGTGGTGTGTGCTTGGGCTGAGCCACACTATAACTAGAAACAGGTTTTTCCAGTAAATAATGCAATATTGGGGTTCACAGTGTGATCAAATATCCTGCAACATTACTAGGACAATTGATGCTGGTTGGCTGGAGCTGAGAAATTAGCACTGATTAAGAAGAGATTGGCATAATTGGGGGTCATATATCTGGGAGTATTTCCTCGGGTCAGCACACAGAGGCTATGGTTCAGAGAGGGTCAAGTCTGCATCTTATGCTGGCAGCCAAACTTGGTAAAAAGTAGGAGTCAGCTTGATGGTATTTGTTTTGAAGGCTTGAAGGGGTTGTAGAGACTGAGGCTTGGTACTATATGGTGGGACTGGAGTGCCTGAACAGAGCCCAGGAGAGGCCATTGGTGAAAGTGTAGTCAAAGTTTTAGGACTGAAGTGATCATGAAAGAATCTGAGGCTTGGTACCATGTGATGGTGTTAGAGTCCTTGAAGAGAGCCCAGAACAGGGTATTGGTAAAGGTGTAGCCCAGTTGCAAAGACCTCAGCATTTTGGAGATGCCAGTACCATGGGACAACCACCAAGGATAACAGCAGCTGTGGAGTTGAGCCAGCCTGAGCCTAGGAGACAAGCTGTGTTTGCTAACAAAGGCAGAACTGGAGAAATGGAGCCCTTTGGAGCATAGAAGATTGTGAGTGAATCCCAGATGTCTGATACTGAGCTTTTGACACTGGTGGAGTTTGGTTTGCTTTGATTTGATTGTGACTGTGCCCTGGTTATCTCCTTTTGAAAAATGACAATATTTAACTTATTTTATTTTACAGGAGCCCACAGTTAGAGACTTTGGAATTTTAGAGAGACTTCAGAATTTTTAAGAGTCTTTGGATATTTTAAGAGACTGACGTTTTAACGTGTTTGACTTTTAAATGCTGTGGGATTTTTAAAAGTTGGAATGTTTTATATCATGATGTTGATATTCATAGGTGAATCTTGGAGATTCCATGGTTGATGGGCTAGAAGCTGTAAGCTGAAATAAACCCTTTCCTCCTCAAGTTGCTTTTGGTCATGATGTTTTATCACAACAATAGAAACCCTACCTAAGGCAGTGGGTAAAATGGCTTCACATAGTCCTTTTTCTATCCCCTTTGAGTGACACAAAGTAAGACATACTTATATATAATATGAAAAGAATATGACGGATATGAATCAATTGTCAGCAAACTAAAGCCCACAAGCCAAATGTGGAACACTGCTAGTTTTTTCGTATGGTGATTTGAATTAGATGCCCCATATTCTCATATATTTCAATGCTTGGTCCTCAGTTAGTGTTGCTATTTGGGGAAGCTTAGCATTGCTGGAGGAAGTGTGTCAATGGGGTGGGCTTTTAGACTTCAGCTTGTCCGATCCTGTCATCCCCAGCCTGCCCTCACGGTTTCCTGATTGTGGTTCGAGATGTGAACTCTCAGCTCTCAGCTCTACTCACCGTGCCTGCCTGCTGCCATGCTCCCCACCGTGATGGTGATGGAACCACAAACTCAGGTAACCCTTCCCTTCTGTAAGTTGCCTTGGTCGTGGTGTTTTCCACAGCAATGGAGAAGTTGTAACTAATGCAGCCTGTGAGCTAAAAATGGCTTTTACATTTGTAAGTGTTTAGAGGAAGAAAGTAAACACACACACACACACACACACACACACACACACACACACACACATCTGGCGAAGTAATTTCTGTTGTTTAATTCTGCTCGGCTTGTAGTGTCTTGTTAAGGAAGCCCTGGAAATCTAATACAACAAGAAAGAAACGGCTTCAGCACCACCTCCTTTCTCCCAAATACTTCTGCAGCTATGGCTGCCTGTAGCTATTGCTCTACATTTGTATGTATTTGTATAAGTATTGTATGTGTGTGTGTGCGTGTGTGTAGGTGGGTCTACTTGTCTATTGTTATGTGAAAGACTTTTCTTGGAGAGACACAACACACACACACACACACACACACACACACACACACACACACACACACACACATGTCTACTCACCCCAGAAAGAGAACCCATGATAGACAAAGGTAACAATAGCATAAATGTTATTATCAACAGTATTTTTTCCCGCTTCATCAAAATCTGTAGGACCACTGTCATATACATAGTCTACTGTTGATAGCAATGTTGTTAAGCACCTAAGGGTTGTATTTGTTCATGATAGAAACAAACAATCTTGAAAGAGCCTGTGGATGGGACCTGCTTGGAAATGCAACTAAGTTTAAGTGAGTTACTGGGGCAGGCTCACACCCACAGTTGGATACAGGTATTGGATAGTGCGGCCATCATCCAGGATACCACGGAATGCCTGTCCTTTTAAGTAGGGAGGAGTTTGAGCCAGGCCTTGTGGTACATGTCTGTGATCCCAGTATTCTGGAGGCTGAGGCAGGGGAATAGTAAGTTCAAGACCAGTCTGGGTTTCATAGTAAGACTGTTCCAAAAAGAGGGGCAGAAAGTGTTTGGAGTGATGTCTCAGTGGTTCTTCCAGCAGACTCAAATTCAGTTCCCAGCACCCATATTGTGCTGCTCATGACTACCTGTAACTCCAGCTCCAGGGGATCTGACTTTCTCTTCTGGCCTCCTCAGCCACCTATATACATATATGCATACATGCCCAGACACAAATATGCATACCCATAGTTAAAAACAAAATAAATATTCCTGTAAAGGAGAGAGAGAGAGAGAGAGAGAGAGAGAGAGAGAGAGAGAGAGAGAGAACAGTCACGTCACAGTAGTCCCGAAAGAAGAAAGGAGCACTGAGCCAGCTCCTCCTTTTTGTCACAGTTCATTTCATCTAAGCTCCTCCTTGCAGCCTGTCAGGGACCAGGTCACCCACATTTAGGGTAGGTCTTCCCCTCTCAGCTAATCCTCTGGAAACACTAACAGACTGCCCAGAGGTGTGCCTGAAACATCTAGTCTTACCAACTCCGGTCAAGTAGACAGCAAGGACGATGCAGCACAGTCTGTGTGCTCAGTCTTTCCTAGGCTATTACACTGGGCTGCATGACACATATCTGATCTATTACAACTTATTTTTTTTTATGATATGATCCCTGACTGTGGATTGTTTCTTAGGTCATAGATCACCAGAGGCAAATTCTAACATTAGAATGTAAGGATAGACAGTTAATATGGAAAATGACTCCAGGAAATACCTCCAAGTTTACCAGTAGGCGCTGGACCGGAGTGGGAAAGGCAGCCAACAAAGGATGCATTGCCAAGCAGGTTGCTGCTGAGACATTCTAGAAGGCAGAATAGAATGTGCCATAGAGTGAACTACTCCAGGAAGGTGAGAACTGACCGGTCTTGTTTTGTTTTTCTGACGTGTCTTATCATGGTTTGAATTGTGTGCTCAGAAAGAGATATGCTGGTGCCCCAACCCCCAGGACCTCAAAATGGGATGTTATTTGGCCAGAAGGTTCTTATGGTTAAGATGAGGTCATTTTGAAGTCAAACAGGCCTTCGATACACAGTGACCAATGTCCTTTTTGTCAATTGTGCCATGTGAAGAGATGGAAAGTTGGAAGGAGAAGGTGGCATGTAAGAGGAGGCAGAATTCATGTGATACTGTCAATAGCCAAGAAACATCGGGGGCCACCGGAGCTAAAGGCAAGAAGGAGTTATCGCTGGAGACTTAGGAAGCAGAACCTGCCAACCCCTTGATTTAGGACTTCTGGCTTGAAGGAGAGTGAGGGAATAAGGATGGCCTTCAGTATTCATGATCTCTGCACATGTTCTATTTGTCCTTGCATGCAGGTAGTCATGATTGCACAGCCAGGAAGGAAAACCCCAGAAAAGAGACGGTAAGAGACCTTCCTGAAATGTGAGCCTGTGTTTGGAACTATTTGACCAGCACCAGATAGTTTGGGCCCGGTGTAATAAAGTCTCAATTCACTCGGTGTTTATCTGGAAAGAATCTGGCTTAATTAGGACAGGCCTTCCTGCATTCATAAAAATCACCCATAACCCTCAGACATTTTTACCACCTTCCAGAAAACAGATCTTTACCTGAACAGAAAGCAATAAAAATAACCTAGCCAAAGCTACTGTTGGTAAGAAATGAGATAATTGGTCAAAGAGGGTGAAAGTGATTGTCTGGTTATCTTGGAACAAGAAGCTACAAGGATAACAACAGCAGCGACCAACATTAACTGCTGTGGATATCACTCTATATTAATAAAACACTGACTGGCCAATAGCCAGACAGGAAGTATAGGTGAGACTAACAGAGAGGAGGATGGAGGAAACAGGAAGGGAGAGACTGCCTGGAGCGGCCTCCAGGACAAGGAAGATGTAAGGTACCAACAAGCCACGAGCCATGTGGCAAAGTATAGATTAATAGAAATGGGCTAAATATAAGAGTAAGAGCTAGACAATGATAAGCCTGAGCTAATGGCCAAGAAGTTTAAATAATGTAAGAGTCTGTGTGTTTATTTTATAAGTGGGCTCCAGGACTGCCGGGACTGGCTCGACTTGGCGGGACCTGGAGAGAAATTCTTCAGCTACAATTAACTATGCCATTGATCCATGGCAGGCACCATGCTGTTTTGCAGGAACTCTTGTTAGAAATAACATATGAAAAGATACTTTTATTGTATCAAACCTGAGAACTACAGGTGGAAAACAACTCGCCAGAAACCACACAGCTGCTCAGATCCAATAACAGAGTCAGGGCTCTGCATATGTGGCAGAAATCAGGCAAGTCCTGAGGGAGGAGCTTACACCAGTGTTCATATTCCCAGCCCAGAGTTCTGTTCATTATCAAGGCTTTCTTTTCAGTCTAGTCCTTGACTATCTCCCCCTAAAGCTCTCCAGTTGGTTGGAGTCTAATTATTTGTAATTCTCTTGAGATGGGTTTTCAATATATTGCTTAGGCTGGCCTTGAGCTCTGGGATTATTCTCTTCCCTCAGCCTCACAAGTAGCTTTCTGTAGACACAGGCTGCACAGAGAGCTAATAAGGGGATTCGGCTGCATTTCTCTTTTGCACTGCCTCGCTTCATGCTCTTTGCCAGTCTTTTTCAGTCCTGATTATGGAACCCAGAGCCTCAGATGTGCTAGACAAGCCCTCTACACTGAACTGTCTCCTCTTTTCTGCTTTGCAGAATTTTAAAAGTGGTGTTTTGGGTGGATAAAATGGCTCTGTGGATAAGGTGCTTACTACCAAGCTGGTCGACCTGGTTTTGATCTCAGAGAACCAACTCATGAAGGTTGTCTTCTGACCACAACCCTCCTTCACACAATGAATAAATCAAACGCAATTTTAAAAATTAAATATTTTCTTTTAAAATGGGTTCTTCAAGCCTGCCTGATCTCTACCAGGATAGAAATCAGATGTTTTATTTTCAATATTTTTCTTTATATCTTGCTATATTTTACTTCAAAAATTTTGCTTTTTTTCCCTGTTATACATTTAAAGGCCTACAAATCCTAATGTTATCTTTGAGAATATACTTAGAAGAATGGATTTCAAAATCGCACTCTTCCTAACTAACCCAAAGAGAGCTAAAAAACAAAAAAAACAAAAAAAACAAAAAAACAAGAAGGATTTAGTTTCAGGTAAATCTTTTATTGTTTATGTTTCAAAGACAGTAACACGGTCATTGTCACAGGCATGTGAACGTCTATTTTGCAGGAAGAATATGCTACAAGTCACTCTAGTCACATAGCATTAGCATTCTGGCAAAGATAAATGGTATTTCCAACTGCATCAAACATTTAATAAATAGGAAATTCTGCTTTCTGCCTTTGGATGAGTCAATGGCATTGTTCAGTGAACGGCCTGCCTCTCCGACTGTCAGCCTCGCTGGCTGAACTTTTCCGCTATCTTCTGCAGCTCCAGATCCATGGCAGCCAAGTTCTCCAGTTCCTTTTTCTGAGAAACAGAAAAGTGGAGTGCTGAAGTCAATTCATATGCTCCAGTTCAGGGAGCTCTAAGGAGAAAGGGGAATTTTAGGTATAGTAGAGGCTGCCTGAGCCAGCCAACATCAGGGGTCTTCAAAGTGTGTTTCTCCTCATCAGTAGATTGGCCACCCTAAGCAATTGCCCAGGAATGAAGATTCCTGGGTCCCATCCAAAACTACTGAATGAGAAACTCTGGGGAGTCAGGAATCCCTGTGACTTTGATATACTTTCAAGCTTGGGAAACACCATCTGACAAGATCAAATTAGGTAAAGGCGCTGCTTGGGTGGTCAGCATGAGCATGGGAATCACCTGGTCAGCACCAGGTGCATAAGCACTAAGGTATACTGCACACCCAGGCAGCACCTGGTACTCATCAGACAGAATCTCCAGGGATAGATCCCAGACAGTAGTTTTCCAAGTTCTCCAAGCAAGACATGAAACACTGGGTGGTGGCTGGAAATCAACCCTGCTGTGGCCAGGGGACTCACATCCCCACAGTGAAATTTCCCACCCGTCTCTCCCATTATCAGGCATGTCGATGCTAACATCAACCTTGATCACCAGCATCTAATTTTAAGCAAAAGCCTCATACTGTACCTCTTCCTCGGTCAGAACTCTCTGATCAGCCCTGCCCTTTGCAGCTTCTGCCTCCTGGTGAGGCCCCGTCTGCTCCTCGGAGTCATAGAAGTCAGGAAATTCAGCCGCCTTCTTCCGGTAGTGAAGGAGCTGGTCCAGCTCGGCCACTCCATCATACTGCCTTTTCAAGTCCAGCTGAGGGGCCCTGGCAAAGCTTCTCTTCTCGTATCCCCAATTGACATCCTCGGAGAAGGGCCTTTTCTCCCACCAGTCGTAGTTGTACTCGGGGAAGAAATTCTTCTCAGTCAAGGTCAACTCATTTCCATCTTCACCTTCTCCCTCGAGAAAATTGCCTTCTGGGTTGTCTCTTTTCTCAAAACCGCTGTTCTTCCACTGGAGAGGGTCAAAGTAGGGGTTGAAGAGCACCCCTAACCTCTTCCTCTTCTCGGTGGTGGGGTAGGGTGCATACTGTCTGTCGGGAAACCTCACTTCCTCCCTGCCTTCTTCTGGGTCTAGCAGCTCTTCCTGTTGCCACCATTTGCCTTGGTCCCCTTCCTCGTCATAGGTGAGGTAGTTTTTCTCCCGTTCTTGCCATTTGCTTTGTGGATACCTTTTTGCCGTATCCATCGGGCCTTCTTGAACAGGGTAATGCCCTTTACCCAGGAGCCTTTTCTCTTCTCTGGTGTCAAGAGCAGGATAGGCACCTGGCTCACCTCCCCTGCCTCTGTGTTGCTGTCCCTTTGCCTCCTCATAGACCCTCTCTTCCTCTGTTTCTTCACTGTGTCCGTTGGCCATGCTTTCAAGTTCAGAGTTGGGGTGGCTTCTCTTGTACTCCTTCTCCTGGCTCTCCTCACTCTCAGGCCTTGGAGCTCTGTCCTCTTCACTTCCCCTGCCCCCATACTGTGGTCCCTGAAGGCGCTCGGGTGCCTGGAACCCTGGATAGCTTCTCATTTCTTCCCCATATTCGGGTTCTTCCTCTGAAGCCCTGTAGTGGGTTGGATGGTGGCCCCTCTTTTCCCCTAAACTGGCTGTGGCCACATCTGCCTCCTCCGACTCCTCCTCAGGGGCACGTCTCCTCCCCTCTGATACAGGATGCCCTTCTTGAGGGGACTTGTTGTTGGGGCGGCTTCTTCCGTGGTGGTGCCTGGGCCGTCGTTTGGCGACTTCAGAGGCCGTGTCCTCCTCCTCCTCTTCCTCGGATTCTTCTTCGCTCCGGTCGTGGTTGCTGAGCTCCTGGGGTTGTTTCTCCTGCCTCCCTGCCTCCTCTCCACTCTCCTGGCTGCCTTGCTCCCTGCTGTGCGTCTTCGCATGGAGCCCCATTGAGTGAGCATCTGCTCTGGCCGCGGGCTCCTCCTTTTTCTGAGCCACAGTGTCGCTTCTTTTGTTGGAGAAGGTGCTCTGTGTCTCCCCCAGAGCGTCAAGGTGTTTCTCTTCGCCAGCATCTTCCCTGTGCTCCCCTTCTGGGTAATTCTTGCCGCCTTCTTCCTCCCTTTCGTCTCCCTCACTCTCTTCCGAATGGCGTCTCTTTGCTTCTTTGGACGGTTGTTGGTTGGAGGGATGGACGCTCTCCTGGGGTTTGTCCACTCCCTCTCGGCTGTGTTCTTCTCCTTCTGTCCACTTCTCATTGTCTACCTTTGTCCGGCCTTGAGAGTCTTCTACTGGAGCTCCTGTTTCCTCCCTGCTGGGAGACCAGTGGGCTACGGAGGCATCAGCTGGGTCTCTTAGCAACCGTAC